GCTTATCAGTGACTGCACACCATACCATATACTTTTAACATGGCGCAGTGAATGATACTCTTTTTAGATAGAGAATAAAGGCTTTTCTTCACTTATTTTCCAATGTTCCAACTATTGTGGTCTATCTTCTCACTTCTGGCTTGTTTTTGTATTCTAGGAATCTACTGCTCTCAGTGTTGGGCACTCTCTGAAACTGTCACCATCACTCAGGTTCTTTCTTCTTCCCCCTTCTCTGCCCTATTTTTCAGATCATTACTTCCCCCCTTGGCTTTTAGTGAAATTGTCAACATTTTCAGTTGACTAATCTTATGACTACTTTCCTTTTACATGTTTGTGGATGGTCACATACATAGCCACTGGCTCTGAGTGTTATTTCCCGTTGCTCCAAGAAATTTTCCCCTTAAATGTCAAAGGGTCTTGTTTTGTTTTTACTGACTTCTGGTTCTGGAACTATTAGCAACTATCCTGTGTTTTCAGAAGATAGGTCTCTAGGTAGGTCAAGTTTCACCAATGGTGAAAAATTTCCTCCTTCTCTGAGTCAATGATTTCTAAAAGTGCTATGTGGCACTTTAATATAAGATAATTCTATTTTGAGCATGTCATGATTTCTTTTGAGTTGTATCAGTGGTTAATGATGTTCCAAAATAAGGGTCAGGATTCACTTTCTTCTCTATCAGTGATGATGCTTTTTTCTATACATATGAATACTACAAGTATTAATGAACTTAAACAACTACTAGTTATGCCAATTTTACATTTCATTAGTCTGCAATGTTGGTTTTTGAAAAATGGAAGATAGTATGGAGTAATGGAAAAAGTACTAAGGTAGGAGTCAAGAGACCTGAACTCTAGAAATCTAGATCAGGTAATAAAGTAATTGCCTAATACAACTCTGTGCAATTACAAAACCTAAAGGGCCCTTTAGAGGCTTTGTTTGTAAATTTAGAAAAGTGCTTAAAGTGCTTTCTAACTCCAAAGTCACATAACAACCAATAATACATAATAAACAGTAAAATCTGTAATTGAGTAGTAAGAGCTGCTCCCTCAGTTCTCAAACAGGAGGGAAGACAACAATATATACTACAATGATGACAAACAGAAAAGATTTCATCATTTCTCCCCATTTACATTTGTACAAAAGGAGATTTCACATCGTAGAAAAAACTTCGGCTCATCAAAGGAACAGATCTCATAAGCAGATCAAATATTCAAACTCAAGTCAATCATTCATATCTGAGGCAAACCACTTCTGAGAAAGGACTGCTTATTTTTCCTGCTCCCTTAGTCTCTATTTAGGCATGCTACTGTCTGAAAGATACAGTCTGCCCTCATAGACAATTACTAATTCACATAAGCAAATATGCCATTTTATGAAAAGACATTAACTAAAGCTAACTTATATCTTATTAGGTGGGCAGACTAAGCCCAGAGGAAATTATCCAACACATTAAAAACACCGATTTATTTTTCTTAAATAAAGCATTTGCCAAAATTGCCATATATACTGAAAAGGCAAATGTAAATCACTAATTACTACTGCTACTGCTTTGCTAAAACCACTGCTAGTATTACTACCATTACTTCCTTTAACTTTACATAGGGTCCTACTTGCCAGGCATGGGGCTAAGTGCTTCACATATGTTAATTCATTTAATTCTTTGTAACAACCCTATTGAAATAGGTATCATTATTAACCCTGTTGTTTGTATGAGGAAACTGAGGCAGAGAAAGGCTAAGTAACTTGTTCAAGGTCATACCACAAGTAGCAGGACCAGGACTCTAACACAGGGAGTACAAGCTCACTACTATTATCCTATACTGTTTTCTCAGACTATTAGCTAATACTTATTAAGTACTTACTATGTGCCAGACACTGTTCTAAGATGCTTAGCATGTATCGACTCCTCTAATCTTCATAACCTCCTGTGATGGAGGTAACTGTTCTTTTTTTTTTTTGCAAAACCTGTGTAACTTTATTCAGCCCGGTGTTTTCCAAGCCTGGTGGATCACGGAACCTTCTAATACCTCGTGGGACAGTGTTCCACGGGACACCACAGTTTGGGAATGCTATGGGCAAAGGCTGCAGGGGAGCCTCTGAAAGTAGAGGAAGGGTCTGGCCCAGGTAAGCCACAGCAAGATTCCAGTGCCAGAGGGGGAAGGAGGGAGGCGGCTGCAAAGCCCAGGGCGAGGGACCCCATAACTGAAGGGAAGGGTGCACATGAGAGACCCACGGTGGGGAGACAAAGAGGACCAGAGTGCTGTTTGGATGTGGAGGGGAGAGAAAAGGAGGCAGAGGTGACCCTGAGAATTCACATTTCGGGAGGCAGCAGGAAGGGGGCAAGGATTGGGGGGCATCCCTCACTTCCACACCACCCACTCTCTGCCCGCTCGCCCCATCGCTCCTCCCCAACCGTGTGACCGAGGTGAGTCTTGGCCCCGTGGCTTCCCCCCCAGGAGGAGCCTGGAGAGAGAAGGGTGGGAACAGCCACGTCATGGGGACGAGCAGCCCCCAGGAGGCCGGAGACGTGCTGCCCCCGCTACGCACAGATCGTGTGGTTGTAAAATCGACAGCAGACGTCCAGGGCCTCTCGGTGGACCTCTGGGCTGGGGCTCTGGAAGGCCCTGCGGCAGCACTGGTACACCTCGAAGCTGCTGCCGTCCATGGTTGTGTTCAGGAAGGTCGTGCAGTTGACCGCAGCCCCCCGGGGCACATAGAGGATCCCTGCCACGCAGGCATTCACCAGCGACACACAGGTCCCAGTGCAGAGCGCCCGCAGCACTATCTGGGAGAAGTCGCTCTTCCGCTGGGGGGCCATGGAGGTCAGTCCTCCCAGCATGATCCCAATGGAACTGAAGTTGGCAAATCCACAGAGGGCAAACGTAGTGAGGATTTCTGCTCTGACCTTGGAGGTAACTGTTCTTAATCTCATTTTACAGACAAGGCCCAGGATGTCACTTTTTTAAAAAGTGATTTGCATTTTTTTTTAAGATTTTATTTATTTGAGAGCGAGAGAGCATGAGCAGGGCAGGGGGGGAGGGAGGGAGAGGGAGAGAGAGAGGGAGAGAGAGAGAGAAGCAGGACTCGCTGCTGAACTGGGAGCCTACATGGAGCTTGATCCCAGGACCCCAGTGAAATCAAGAGTCAGACGCTTAACTGACTGAGCCACCTAGATGCCCCCAGCCAGTTTCATTTTAAAGTAACTTTAAAGTCTGCATTTGACAGACACATACTAGACAATAACACAGAATGCCACAGTGGAGAGAATATGATACTTAAGTGCGGACTTCCCCCTCCACATCTCTCCCTTACCACCCTCCACTAATTCTTTTAATGCAAGAAGGGTTATGGCAGGCAAGAGCAAATCAGGTTTGTGTTCTTGGCAGTGCACTTCTGTTTATAAGGGATGAGCTGTGAAGAACAAGACCTCTACCGTGTTCCTACAGGAAACAAAAAGTAATACTTCAAAACACAAAATGAGGTTACACTTTGCGTCTGCAGACAGTAAAATATTAATAACCATTCATTCTAAGGCCAATCTAAGAACATAAAGGACAGAAAGCATTTCAAAATAGAGTGGGATGCTTTACCCCAACGTTTTCATTTTCTACTTAACAATCACCATCATTATAATGTACCTATACAAGGTTTGAAGTCATTTGCCTACTTGTTTACTCCTTCAACAACACTGATTAATATATTTTGTATGTGAAAACACAATATTAAACTCTGAAAAATAGAAAAAGAACCAGGCAGAATAATGAAGTCAATAACATAAACAGTCTACCAATATTCTGATAAATAAACAATGACCGAAAAAGACACATAGAAAAACAATATAAATTGGGTGCCTGGGTGGCTCAGTCATTAAACGTCTGCCTTCTGCTCAGGTCATCATCCCGGGGTCCTGGGATCGAGCCCCACATTGGGCTTCCTGCTCAGCGGGAAGCCTGCTTCTCCCTCTCCTACTCCCCCTGCTTGTGCTCCCTCTCTCACTGTGTCTCTCTCCATCAAATAAATAAATAAAATCTTAAAAAAAGAAAAGAAAAAATATAAATTAAATAATCAGGTTAGTGATCATTTGGTAAGTAACAAGGAGTCTACATTAATCAACTGGCTCTCCAAATATGGAGAAATTGGATTCCTGGCATTACTCTGAGTCTTTTAATTCTGAAGAAAAATCCATTCTGTTTTAAGTAAGATGAGAATATTCACTAATGAGAATTTCTCTTTGAATTCTTTATTTAGAACAATGGCAGATTATCATTTAGAAATTGAGTTCTAGGGCGCCTGGGTGGCTCAGATGGTTAAGCGTCTGCCTTCAGCTCAGGTCATGATCCCAGGGTCCTGGGATCGAGTCCCGCATCGGGCTCCCTGCTCCTTGGGAGCCTGCTTCTCCCTCTGCCTCTCTCTCTCTCTCTCTGTCGCTCATGAATAAATAAATAAAATCTTAAAAAAAAAAAAAAAAAGAAATTGAGTTCTAATTTAAGTTCTGAAATTAACTTTTTTAAACAGAAAATCAATACTTCTTACCCAAGGGTCTTCAACATTTTGATGAAAAAGGTGAACAAATGAAGGATAATGTAAATGATGTGGTTGAGACACCATTGACTTAAAAGTCAGTGCTTAGGTTTGATCCCAGAACTTCCACCCTGTATTTAGGTTACCTTTCATGTCAGCCTCAGGTTCATCACAGGTAAAATGAGTTCATACCACCTTCCTCCCAGGGATACTGTGAGGATTAACTGAGATATGTAAGGTGCATATGCAAGCACCCCCGTGTCCATTATTACCTTCCTCACAGAGTTGTTGCAAGGGAGGAAATTTATGTGGAAGTTTAAGCACAGGGCTTAGTCCATAGAAGTGTCACATAGGTATTCATTTCTTCCCCCTTCCAATCCTTATCTACATTGAAGCATTTTATTCCTGGCCAGTAGTCACACAAAGTCTGATAGAGTTGAAAATTCTATGAAATATGTAGATAAAGGGGAATCATACTCACATATTTGACATATTCTTTCCACTGCTGCCACCACTGCATGGAGATGATAAACCAATTGTGTCCTGGTTGCAGACCATACCTGCTCTCTCGTTCTAACCATCCTCTGCACATACAAAAGAAATTCAGTACATCAAATGGTATATGAAACGGATGATCACACACACATCCAGAAGTTATCATTAGAAATTCTTACAAAGTAAAAACATGACACAGATATACTCGGGAGACTGCCATAGTTTCAATTAGTGAAACACTGATAAGTCAATTTTAGGAGTCTTAACACCACTATCAAGCTTCATACCTGATGTTTTAAAAAATATTTTTATTGAGGAATAATTTACATAACATAAAATTTACCTGAATTAAGAGTATAACTCTATGATTGTGGTAAATTTGTAGACATATGCAACTATCACCACAATCCAACAATCCAATTCTAGAACATTTCCATTACCCCCAAAAGCTATCCTGTGTCCACTTTTAGTCAATTCATGTTACCACCGTCAGCCCAGGAAATCACTAGTCTATTTTCTGTCTCTTACAAATTTCCCTTTTCTGAACATTTCATATAAATGGAATAAGAGAACACATGGTCTTTTACATCTGGCCTCTTTGACTTACCATGTTTTTGAGGTTCACCTACGTTGTAGCAGATATCATTACTTTGTGCTTTGTAATTCCATTCCAAATACTATTTTTTAATTTTATTTATTTATTTATTTTTAAAAAGATTTTATTTATTTGAGAGAAAGAATGAGAGAGAGAGCACATGAGAGGGGGGAAGGGCAGAGGGAGAAGCAGACTCCATGCTGAGCAGGGAGCCCGATGTGGGACTCGATCCTGGGACTCCAGGATCATGACCTGAGCTGAAGGCAGTCACTTAACCAACTGAGCCACCCAGGTGCCCCCCAAATATTATTTTTTTAAAAGATTTATTTACAGAGAGAGAGAGTGAGAGTGAGCACGAGTGTGGGGGAGGGGCAGAGGGAGAGGTATAGAGAGAATCTCAAGCAGACTCCCCACTGAGCACACAGCCTGACACAGGGCTCAATCCCAGGACCCTGAGATCATGACCTGAGCCAAAATCAAGAGTTGCCCGGCTGCTTAAGTGACTGAGCCAAATACTATTTATAATGCATCCCACAGGTAGGTATACACCACATTTTGTTTATCCATCTAACATCTGATATTTTGAAATTGGCAAGCTATTCTCCAAAGTGGCCGCACCATTTAACATTTTCATCAGTAATGTATAATGGTTCTAGTTTTTTCATATTCTTGGCAATGCTTGTTACTATCTTTTCTATCATAAAGGTTTAAGTGGGTGTGAAGTGGCATCACATCGTGATTTTAAAGTCTGTTTTTACGAAGGAGAAATTCATAACATAAGGTGGTGGTTGCATATTTTGAATGTACTAATGCCATTGAATTGTATGCTTTAAAATAGTCACTTCTATGCTATGTGTATTTCTCCAAAACATTCTCATACATCCCAAATGAGTAGTTATACATTAGGTGGTTATTTCCTATTACTACCTTCCCCGAGCCTTTGATAATCACCATTCTTTCTGTATCTATTCATTTACCTATTCTGGATATTTCATATAAATGGAATCATTCAATGTGACCTTCCATTATTTGGCTTCTTTCATTTGTAAGGTTCATCCATGTTGTTGCATGCACAAATACATGTACCATTCCTTCGTAAGGCTGAATAATTTTCCATAGTATGTATATATGACATTTTGTTTATCCATTCATCCACTGATGGCTATTTGGACTGTTTCCACTTACTGGCTAATGTGTATTGTGTTGCTATGAACATTTGTGTACCAACATTGGAGTTCCTGTTTTCAACTGTTTGGGGTATATATCTAGAAGTGGAATTGCCAGGTTACATGGTAGTTGAGGAACTACCAATTTTTTTGCACAGCAGTTACACCATTTTACATTTCCACCAGCGATGTATCAGTGCCCCAATTTCTCCATATCCTCACAGAATTTACTGTCCATTTAAAAAATTATAAACATCCTAGTAAATGCAAAGTAGAATCATTGTGGTTTTGAGAGTTGCATTTCCTTAATGACTAATGATTTTGAGCAACTTTTTATGTGCTTGATGACCATCTGTATGTCATCTCTGGAGAAATGTGTTTTCAAGTCCCTTGCCCAGTTTTTAGTTTTCTTTTTGTTGGTGAGCAGCAGGAGTTCTGTATATATTCTGGTTACTTGACCTCTGGCAGATCTATGACTTACAAATATTATCTCCCATTTTGTAGGCTGTCTTTTTACTTTCTTGACAACGTCCTTTGATAAAAAGAAGTTTTAAATTTTAATGAGTCAAATTTATCTATTTTTTCTTTGGTTGCTTATGCTTTTAGTGTCACATACAAGAATTCAACTTAAAAGCCAAATCACTCTTGAAAAAATATTCTTCCCAGATATAGAATAGAAGTACCGTAATGCTTTTCTGGATTCCAAGATTTCTGATGAGAAACCTGCTGTTAATCTTATTGAGAATCTACTGTATGTGTAGCTTTTCTCTTGCTTTTAAGATTTACTCTGTCCCGGGTGCCTGGGTGGCTCAGTCGGTTAAGCGACTGCCTTCGGCTCAGGTCATGATCCTGGAGTCCCGGGATCGAGTCCGTATCGGGCTCCCTGCTCGGCAGGGAGTCTGCCTCTCCCTCTGACCTTCTTCCCTCTCATGCTCTCTCTCTACCATTCTCTCTCTCTCTCAATAAATAAATAAATAAAACTTAAAAAAAAAAAAAGATTTACTCTGTCCCTAGGCTTCTGACCATCTGATTATAATGTGTCTTGGTGTGAGTCACTTAAGAGTTTTATCCTTCTTGGAGTTCAATGAGCTTTTGAATGTTTAGTTAACATCTTTTGTCAAATTTGGGGAGTTTGGGGCCATTATTTCTTCAAATATTCTGCCACTTTCCCTCCTCTCCTTTCTGGGATTCCTATCATGTGTATGCCGATATGGCTGCTGCTATTTCATAGGTCTAGTGAGCTCTGTTCATTTCCCTTCATTCTTTTTTCTTTCTATTTCTCAGTCTCAATAGCTTCAACTGACCTATCTTTAGATTTTAACTTCTCTCAGCCAGGCTTTGGGTTCTCAGTGTACAAAAACAGTGTAAAAAAACAAAAACATTCCTAACTTGCAGACTGTATAAATCAGGCATTGGACCAAAGTTAGCCAACGGGCCATAATTCGTGGCTTAACAATATTGCAGGTGTACCTGAATATGTACTCTGCTGTTGTTGGTTGGTGTGGTCCTGCTGCATGCACATGTATTTACAATTTTTATATCTTCCTGATGAATTAAAACTTTTATCATTATAAAATGTCTGCCTGTAATAATAATTCTTTGCCTAAAAAGCCATTTTTTCCTAATGTCGGTACATCCACTCCAGCTCTCTTATGGTTACTATGTGCCTGGTTATATCTATTTCATCATTTTACTTTCAACCTATTTGTGTCCTTGAATCTCAAGTATTTGGATTAAAAATATCAGTCTATATTTATTTATTTTTAAAGATTTTATTTATTTATTTGACAGAGAGAGACACAACGAGAGAGGGAACACAAGCAGAGGGACTGGTAGAGGGAGAAGGAGGCTTCCCACGGAGCAGGGAACCCGATGTGGGGCTCGATCCCAGGACCCTGGGATCATGACCTGAGCCGAAGGCAGACGCGTAACGACTGAGCCACCCAGTCTATCTTTAGCTTCTGATAATTGTTTAATCCATTTATATTTAAGGTAATTATTAATATGGATTTGTGCCTACCATTTTATTACTTGTTTCCTACTCATCTCAAGTATTTTTATTTGTTTTTCTATTCCTCCTTTATTTCCTTTTGTGTTAAGTAGATTGTTTCCTACTATATCATTTTAATTATTTTTCTAAAGAAACTGTATTTGGGATTATTTTCTTACTGGTTGCTCTAGAGGTACAAAATAAAGCTTAACACATGCTACTTCAGATTAATACTAATTTATTCCAGTAAATTATAGAAGCTGCTCAAATATAGTTCTACTTCTTATTCTTTTGGTTGTATTATCATCATCATGCATATGACATCTTTTTAAGCTGTAAGAACAACATAGTTTTCAAATTATTGTCTCATGATTTTGTATTTTATTAATTAAAAGGATGAAACAGGCTGCCCGTGGACGCCGCAGAGTAAGCATCGTTAAAGTCTCCCCTCCCACCACCGTCATGTCTAAGTCAGAGTCTCCCAAAGAGCCTGAACAGCTGAGGAAGCTCTTCAACGGAGGTTTGAGCTTTGAAACAACCGATGAGAGTCTGAGGAGCCATTGTGAGCAATGGGGAACGCTTACGGACTGTGTGGTAATGAGAGATCCAAACACCAAGCGCTCCAGAGGCTTTGGGTTTGTCACGTATGCCACTGTGGAGGAGGTGGATGCAGCCATGAACGCAAGGCCACACAAGGTGGATGGAAGAGTTGTGGAACCAAAGAGGGCTGTCTCAAGACAAGATTCTCAAAGACCTGGTGCCCACTTAACTGTGAAAAAGATTTTTGTTGGTGGCATTAAAGAAGACACTGAAGAACATCATCTAAGAGATTATTTTGAACAGTATGGGAAAGTTGAAGTGATCGAGATCATGACTGACCCAGGCAGTGGCAAAAAGAGAGGTTTTGCTTTTGTAACATTTGATGACCATGACTCTGTAGACAAGATTGTCATTCAAAAATACCACAATGCGAATGGCCACAACTGTGCAGTAAGGAAAGCCCTATCTAAGCAAGAGATGGCTAGTGCTTCATCCAGCCAAAGAGGTCGAAGTGGTTCTGGAAACTTTGGTGGTGGTCGTGGAGGTGGTTTTGGTGGGAATGACAACTTTGGTCGTGGAGGGAACTTCAGTGGTCGAGGTGGCTTTGGTGGCAGTCGAGGTGAGGTGGTGGTGGATATGGTGGCAGTGGGGATGGCTGTAACGGATTTGGTAATGATGGAAGCAACTCTGGAGGTGGCAGAAGCTATAATAATTTTGGCAATTACATCAATCAATCCTCAAATTTTGGACCCAGGAAAGGAGGAAATTTTGGAGGCAGAAGCTCTGGCCCCTATGGTG